GACGACCATTTTACTTGAAGATCACCAGGGCAAGAAGATTGCTCATCAGCAGTCTCAGCAAATTAGAATATAAAGAAACGATTTGTCTAAATTAAAGGATCCGTAAATTTGTTTCGATACATTTTTTTCTTGTAATGTTTACAAATCTACTACTTCGTCTAGAAGCTGCAGTCCGCTATCATCTGTATATCCTTATTTGTGCCAAAGTTTGAAGGAGGCAAGAAATTTTCATTCGAAAAATCTCTCCGTGAAGAAGGACACTAAGTATACATGACCCTGTGCGTTCGATCTAACAGGTAATTATGTATCTCTTAAAGACTGGTAAATTTTAGCCTAAAAGCTTAGAAACGTCATATATATATTCCAAGGCTATATGAATTCAATGCAGCGATGACGTCGTGTACCACCTGAGACGTGATTCCATGAAATATACGAAATTGATGGCCTCATGAATTGCATATGCAAACTAATCAATTAACCTACCCTAGTCACTTTTTCACATTCACTAATGACTCCACACTGAGGACTAAAATTTTACCATACTATTCCGGGAACCAAACTTGGATGAAGTGGTGCAGCATTTTGCGGGAACAGGGAAAAAACCAGTTAAAGTAGAGCAAGCTTTGCACAGATTTTAAAGGAAACCACTCTCCTCCAGTATGTTGAGTATGCTGTAGAACATTGTTCTTACAATTTGCAGGACATTAGGACTCTTAAATATTAGTACCGAAAATTAAGATATTTATTTTTCCTATTGAATCCAACCATTCAGCGTATGTCCATAAAGCTCAAGCTTATTCCTGACGATATCAGTCAGCTGCTATTCCGCTAAATTTGATTTCATTGTCATGATCAAGGTGGCGTAATCAGTATGGGCCTGTGAGCCAAGTCAAGATGTTAACAGAGGTCTCAGCTGGGACATGCCATTGCAAAAAATTCAGAGTCCATGTTAAAAGTGAGGTACCATTTTCTCCGCATCAACATTATTTATCTCGATTACCTGTCTTCAAGCCGCAATTAGTCTTAGAAAAATAATGTGGTGGCATCAACAAATCTAACCACTGCAATGGCGCCACTATAAATTTATATGCATAATTACTAACCGATTTTTTCCACAAAATTCTAAGCAGAAGTTGGCTACTTGATGTGCAACGAGTAGTAAAATATTTGTTTGCCTCATACCTGACTACAGGGCAAATTTAAAGGTTTCAGACAAATGCGGTTTTTGACTACTGCCCTTGAACTGAACCGTTTGGAAACTACTAGGCAAAGTAGAGCAGAAAGTACGAATATTTCAATCGTGTATTGCTTAAAAATGGCATGCAATTCTGTCAACAGCTGAAGTTCATCGATGAGCTAACGAATAAATACGAAACATCACCATATCTGGTTCTATTTTGAATAATGATAACGGATTTACAAGGCTAATACTTCACGTTACTTCTTTTACAATGATATTGCGATAGCGTAAAACGGATAGAAGCCATTGCACTTGATTGTACCCCAACAGTGCACCAGGGTCATGCCTCATGTCATCGACGTTAAGTATTATTTTCTATGTATTTTCCAACGGATAGAAGGTGTTCGAACATACCCTTGTCCAACTCAGTACAACGACGTGTTGTATGCATTTTATGACGCAGCAATGACCTACTTAACCCTCCGCCACCCTCAGAAGCAAGGAGGCGGTGCATTGTTGCTACACAATCAAATGAAATTGCTTCCATTCTTTTTACACTGTCGCAACATCCTTTTAAAGAGAGTATTTCACAGTATTCACCGCGTACATTACATTTCGTATGGTTGCTTAAAAGCTGATATTTGTCGTCGGTGATGTCAAAAGGTTGATATTGCTTGCAACTGGGTTACGTACTGTTTTCTACACAATTTTGATCTGCCGCTGATGTTGCCACTTGAATAATTATGCTTGTAACAAATGGATGTTGGTTGATTTCGTATCATTTTCTCCATTTGAATAGTCTCTTACTATGAAGACTCCTTTCTTGTGATGTGTTTATCCAGTCCAGCAATAAATGCATATTTACTGTATCTTGTGATACCTGCTTTATCGACATCATCTTTTCTCAAAATGCCCAGTAACGTTTTTTATTCTAGTGTGTTTTTGACTAATCGTGCCTTTAGAACATTTCCTGTAAACAAATAATCTAAATGATCTAACTTAAATCCATAATGTTTAAAGGACGAAGAGACGTTCATCATCCGGGAAAAGCCATGTTAAAGGCAGCAGCAGAACAAAAGTGCTCATTGCAGCCCTCTTCATCGTGAAATCTTGATCACACCTGATGCAATACAGCGAAGATCCATCCCATCTCTTATTTTCAACGATTCTGCTGTCTGTGCCAAGTTACTTCACTCATTCAGCTTTATTCCTCTAGTCGCAACTGCGCTGAACAACTCTTATCAGTGAAAGAGGAGGCCATAGAGTTTCTTAAGGCAAATTTATGAATCTTAAGCCTCGATCACTTCGGCTATGATCTAAGACTTAAGCGCCAAAACTTGAAGAATGGTTAGTTCTTGCTCTATCTTACGCATGTGAGGTCCACACCTGGCACGAATTGGTAAATAGAACGAACTAATCATCGAATATGAATTTGTTTTTGAACATTCTGTTCGTTGAGCGTAGCTTGGGATTGCGAAAATGGCGCTCATTAAGTGCGAGATAGCGCATTATTAAATTTAATCTTGGCTGTGACCCTGATGGATATCATTTATTGCTTAATGTTTGACAAGTAACCGAAACTACATTTTTTATTTGATTCTGAGGCAAGTCTTACACCTAGCTGTGAAGTCTTTCATAAGGGGAAATTTCCAGAAGTCGATCGGTTCTAAGTGGCGTATGTTAAATATGAATCCATAAGCGAAATTTCTAGACGACAACCATTCAGTACCAAGTAAAGGAGGAGACGCCTTGTACCTTCTACTGGCAAGACAAATATTTGTAATTCGTGAGAAGCACTTAACGTTGATCGTTGCATGTTTGGTGAAAGGCGCGCAATCGCAACTCTGACCCACATGCGAAAATGGGTCGTCGTTAATAAGGGTCAGCGGTCCACCAGATTCAACTGGAAAAATAATGCATCGGCGACCGATTTCTCCAACGCGCCTCAAAAATCTTTCAAATTCTGAATAATAACAAATATAAATGTCTAGATGATAAAAACTCAGCGACTGTAAAATTTTTACTGCAACAAATATGACATAACATTTCTGATTATTAGCCAGTTGTTGAGAATTGTAGATTTTTCTTCGATTCATGGTTGAGGGCACCACACAACGCAGATGTTAACAGTTTATTGTCAATGCGTTTCATTACGAACGCAGTAACATCGTCAGGGCACACTTTAGAACTTTGTCCCAACAGGGCTACCATGTTCGTAGCGAATTAATTTGGCAATAAACTGTAAACATCTGTGTCGTTTGTTACCCTCAACGAACTCATAGATTAGATCTGCCATTAATGCTTGAACCGTAACTCCATTCTATTTTTGCCTTGAGGCGGTTATGCACTGGAAGGACTTTAAGGTACGGCATGAGCGAACCGCTTAGCAGATATCAGGGATTCATGACGCCAGGGGGGAGGGCAAATCATTCCAATTAGTTCGATTGGGACAAGCAGAATACCAAAGTTTCAGATGGTTATAAAATGCTTCTACGTTCATCTGATGTCAGTCTCCCTTGGTTATATCTGTGCATCAAGAAATCTGTAAATAACCGTAATAAGCAAATAAAAACGACTGCAGCAAACATTCAGCTTTTTGAACTAGAGAGCCGTGTATTATTATCCACATAGAAGCATTTCATGAGTGAGCTTTAGTCAGCCTGATTTTCAAGTCACTGACGACCAGTAACGTCATTACTAACTCCTTAATTTTGACTTTGGTATTTTACCTCTAGCCGTAAATTTTATGAACTTGCTCATATGATGCCGCATGTAGGTAGTAGGTGAAAGCACGTCATATTAGTTATTGTCAGGGTCATCAACCAAACAAAAACAACGTAAAATAAAATGCATATTTTATGGATTTTGTTAACGTGAAATCGTCTCCAAACGAGAGGAAGGGAATAGAGGTGATGATCAACGTCCAAGTTTATCACCGGAAGCTTTTAGATGTGGTAGGTGAAGCAGAATGGCCCATTTTAGAGGTTCGATTCTACCTCAGACGTGGGCGCACTGTGTACGGCAACGTTGAACAAGAAAGAAAAACGACCATACCTTGATACGTCTCGCGTGCTTGGATACACATGTCGTTGGTAACCGGGAATTTGTTGCAGTTGAGCATTTCCGGCCACGGAAAGCCGTACATCTCCATGCGCTTCTCGCAGCCGGACTTGACCGCCTCGCACAGGGACCGGCAGGGGTAGATGGCGCGTTCGAGACATACGGGGGCGAACAGTGAGCACAGGAATCGCTGAAGACAGAAGCAGGAGAAGGTTGCGCAGTTAGACGAGGCAAGCGAGGGACGTAAGAACGACTCGTAATAAAGCAAACAAACATTTACTTGTGTGTCCGCATGGCAGTTCAGGCGCAACAGCGATATCCAAGGCGCGGCCTGCTGGACCGCCTCGTCCAGGGTCTCATGTTCGACTAGATTCGGTAGGCGCATACGGCGGTAGTCGATGCCATGGCAAAGACTGAAGTTGCGTGGGATGTCGACGCAGGTCGGGCTGGGCATTCGGCTGAGCATCGCCCACGACTCGGACATGTACGCTTGGACGACCGGCAGTGGCCACCAGCACAGCGCAGCGACGAAGTTAATCCACCACAGCAAACTGCGGAAGGGGCACGACAGCACGACGACGACCAACATCACCTCACCTCAGAGCAACGGCAAACTCGAATGGAGAAGAACAGGCGCCGGTCTGGTCATAGACGGGGGTGACTGACTGGGCGTCGACGGCAGTGGACAGACGAATGCGGGATTCGGGAGCGGTCCGATCTGATTTCCGTAAACTGAGAACACTGACGACAACCAGTACGACGACGACGACAACAAGTCGAAGAAGATCGAAAGGCAAGGCAAGACAAGAAGAGACAGGCCAAGACAAGCCGCTTAACAGCGTGTCATCTCAAAGATCCGCCGCCGCCACTGCAGCAGAAAAATGAGGCCATGCGACAATGATTGCCGTCCGTCATTCAGTGAGCACTTGAATTCATGAACGAGGCGAGGTGGTGATGACCATCTTCCATGAACCCAACCAACCGCAGAGAGACGAGGACCAATGCGAGGAGGAGGACGAGACAAACGAAGGACCAGTTGCTTGTCACTCTTTTTAGCACGGAGACCTGACTCTACTGTGCGCTGGTGATTTGCCCTTATGGCATGCGCGCCACAGCAGCATCGCCTCCTCCTCACACTTCACACGTACACGCCGTGCTCAGCAGTTGGTGCACGAAACACCACCAAGGCGTTTACAACGCATTTGACCAGTACGCCATTGGCTGTTCATCTCAT